GTTCTTGTCCGACCCGTCAGTGTTCTTGTCTGACCCGTCAGTGTTCTGCTGTGACCCGCTGGTGAAGCTGCAGTGTAAAGTGGTCAGAACCACCCCGTCGGAGCGCCTCCTGACCTGAAGTTCTGGTTCAGTCTCCGGTGACTACAGTTGGGCTGAGCTGTGGGGATTAGCGGGCCGGGTCCTGTGAGGTGTTTGGATTATCTCCATATGCTCTCTTCAGAACCGTTGAGTCCATTAACCTCCCTGAGTGGTTCTGTCACTCTTCATTTAACACACGGTCCGGTCACTCGTTACCGTCGGCGCCGAGTCCTGACGGGGAACCAGATCTGGGTCGTGCTGAGTCACACATGTGGGTGTTGATGAGCAGCTGATCCGGACTGAGACCTGCTGGAGGTCAAAGGTCAGGGCAGGAGGTCCACACTGATCAAACGTGTGTCTCCTCTTGAGAGACGAGTGTTTGTGAGGAGCACCTCCTGAACTGGGTCTGAGGGCTTCGAGTCTCTGCAGCTCCTTCTGGTCCCTTGAGCCTCCTGATGGTCTGCGGTGGGCTCAAAGGCAGCACAAGGAATGCTGGGTAATCTGAGCAGGTCTTCCTGTTCTGTCTGCTGACATGAAAGGAGAGCCTCAAGGACCTGCCTGGAATCGTTGACGCCCACAGTCACCTGGAGGCAGCGTTCTGCAGAAACACGATGGATTTACTGCGGTCCATCCGAGTCGTACCATGGACCACTGGTCCGTCTGCAGCGGAACGTCTGCAGACACACGACGTGGTTAACCTGACTGTTGCTGTGAATTATGGGATGTTCAGGTCCACCCTCGGCCAGCAGTTGTTGGGACACAAATATCAGACCTTCTTCAAGCTGCCCCTGGCCTCTCATGAGTGTTTCGTCCTCCATCTTCAACTCGTGGCTCGCTGCACGGTCCACCTGGCACCACGTCGCAGCCTTACCTCCACCGTTACCTCACTCCACGGCTCAGAGGTGTAACAGCAGCGGGTTGACTTCAGCCCCCGAGCTGCTTCGGTCTGTCTTAAAGCAGTCCGAAGGGATGGAGGCTCCAAAGAGTTCGGTGGAAGAGGATCTGGACATCGAGCCACATTCAGGCTCATGATGCTGCCCCAAGACCTGAGTCCAGAACCAGAGGACAGATGGAGGATGGATGGAAACCAACCTTTCTTACTCTTGTAAGAGAAATGTGTGTCATGTAAGGAACCCGTCACTAATGCAGTTTGTTGCAGTCAGTCCTGAGAGATTCAGGCTGTTAGTGTCAGGGTCAGGGTGACGGTAGCTCAGTGGTTTCAGGGTCAGGGTGATGGTAGTTCAGTGGTTTCAGTGTCAGGGTGACGGTAGTTCAGTGGTTTCAGAGTCAGGGTGATGGTAGTTCAGTGGTTTCAGTGTCAGGGTGACGGTAGTTCAGTGGTTTCAGGGTCAAGGTGACGGTAGCTCAGTGGTTTCAGGGTCAGGGTGACGGTAGTTCAGTGGTTTCAGGGTCAGGGTGACGGTAGCTCAGTGGTTTCAGGGTCAGGGTGACGGTAGCTCAGTGGTTTCAGGGTCAGGGTGACGGTAGTTCAGTGGTTTCAGGGTCAGGGTGACGGTAGCTCAGTGGTTTCAGGGT